TGTGTGTGTGTGTGTGTGTGTGTGTGTGTGTGTGTGAGATGGTCCTGATGGGGTTGGATCTGGGCCCCAGAAAGGAAAAACCCTGGACTTTCCCACGGCCAAATCTCTGGCGGTCCCCTGAGGCTGTAATCCCATCAACTGGCCTTTCATTGTGGCTAAACCCAATCTCCCCTCCACTGTTTTACCTCCCCAGGTATGGCCCCTGGCCATTTCCCACCCTTAATCCTAGCTAGGCTCCATTTTCCCTTGGCCAAAAGGTCCAGGTCCCAGGAATTCTGTTCACCCCAGTTTACTGGTCACTCCTAGGTCCTTCCCACAGTCTTTCTGTATATAAGGTCCACCTTGTCTCCATCAAGATGCTTAGATTTTTATAATCTAGCCATGTCTCAGATTCCTAAAATCTAGTCACGGTTTAGATTTTTATAATCTAGCCACTGCTTGTATTCTTAAAATCTAGCCACTGCTCAGATTTTCACCATTTAGCCAATGGCCCATAGATGCTCAGATTCCTTATGAGTCTGGCTAATATGTCAAATCTTCAATAAAGCTTGTTTTTGGCTGCAAGAAGGTTTGGGTCGAATTCTTTCGGGTAGAACACGGGTGTCGTGATTTGGAGATTCCAGGACCCCTAACCTCTAGACCTCATCAGTCTCCTTTAGAAGTCTAATGAAGGCAATGAACTGCTCAGAATAATGTTTGTTGTCCATAGTCATAATTGAAGGAAAAGCTCAATTTCAATTAGAGGTTAGTGATGATAAAGATTTATTTTTTTCCTATCCAGGGTCACATATCCCCTGAAATCTATACAAGGACTCTAGCTCTAGAATAACATCCTCAGTTTAAAAATATGGAAACTGATGTCCAGGTTAATGAAGTCACTTGTCCAAGGTCAAAGAGATAGTAAGTAGCAAAATGGGGATTTAAACTCAAATTCCTTGACAAAATCTGTGATTTTCCCTATATCTATATCTATGTCTTATGTTCTCTCCTTAATCCTTTGGCTGGAATTGCAAGGAGCTGGGATTGTTCTTGAGGATAGGAGAAAGGTTTAAGCCACTTTGTCTACTGGAGTTCATGAAGAGATGGATAGTGGTGGTTCTTGTGGGTGTTCTATGCCTGGTAATGTTACAGTTTGGGGTGCTGAGAACCCCAAAATGCAAGGATACTGGGGAGGTCTGCCTTGAAAGAATTTGACCACTCAAGCCTTCTTTCAGTCAGAGTAGTAAGGTTTATTTGTGATGCTAATATAAGCGGGCTATATTCTTAGTGAATCTATGAGATTTCATGGGGATAAGATTGGTACTTATATACAAGAAAAGATGGTAAGAAGATCTGGGTTGGATTAAGGAGTGGTAAATAGCCTGGGGTGGTGCAGGGGCAGCCCATGAAAGGAGTTAAGTGGTCAGAGAGCCACAGTGAAAGGGCAGTTAAAAGGATTGTTGAGTATGTAGGCGGGCTGAGATGGACCAGATGCCTCAGACAAACTGCCTGGGACTAGATTGTAGGAAAGTTCAGGTGCTGGGTTGTGTTCAAAGATATGGTCTTTTCCTTTTAGGGGTCAAGGTCCCATCAATTCATCAGTATGATCTCTGTATCATGGTTGTACCATGGTACTCTGTACCATCAGAATATGGTTCTTTGGGAGATCTATGCCCATATCCTGGTGGTCTCTATTTCCTTTCCACTTGATCTGGTCCTTAAAGTTTTGATAGGTCAGGATGGGTGGGATGCATGTGGGTCAGGAGGTGGTTCCAACTCTCCTGTTTTTGACCACTTTCACTAGGACCCCTGATCACTCTGTTTTATTATTAGCGGTAGACAATAGGATCATAGATTTAGGGATGAAGGGGAACTTAGAAATCATTGAGTCCCACACCATCATTTTTTAGATGAAGAAACTGTGACCCAAGTAATTTGCCCAAGGTCACTTGGATAG